AATCCTAGACTTTGCATCATTGTCTAAATTGAGATTATTCAACAGAATCTATTATATTTCTCCAGTTATATCATCTTCATCTTTTTCATCATCATCATCATCATCATCAAGAGATTGATCTCTATTAGGGTTTTGAATATGGAAAAATTCAGTAATTTTAGAAAATCCAATTGTGCATCTCTCAACTCTTTGGCATGTCCTGATTGAATCCCCCATATAAAAAGTCCTACTTTTGACAAGTTGAATTACAAAAAATAGTTAGCATTTTGGAATAAGCATGTGTATATAAGTGTATCATTTCATATAAAATAATGTTATTCTAATAGAGTGGATGGTTTTAAAGCTGTAACAGTGACTAACAAAGATGGTGTTGCAATAATAAAATGTAAGAAGCAATGTAAATCGATTAGGAATCAATTGATTTTTAAATAATGATAAGCTGTAACAAAGTAATGCATCATCCATTAAAACATTTGAGCGACTTTTGGAGTTATCAATGATCAGGTAATTTAATTATTTAATTATGCAAATAGAGAGAAAATTTATAATTTTAGACATCGAAATTAGGGTCAAAGAAAATAAATATATAATCACCTTTTACAGACTTTATCAAGTCATACAATTTAATCACGCACCATTAATTACTATTATATATACACCATCTTGTGGTGAGGGTGAATTAAAAGAAATACCAGATTTAACATCTGCAACATCAGAAACATAATATACTGTTATTTTTTAAATATATATATATATATAATATTTAATATTAAATAATAATACAAGATATAAAAAATATATAGGTAAGAGGGTTTACATGTATTTCAAATTCGAGAAAAACAACAACAACGACAACGCGACAACAACGACCACAACAACAAAAATAACAGTAATAACAACAATAATAATGAATTCTGATTTCTTTTCTTCTTCATAGACAGAAAAAGAATAAATGAAATTTGGTTATAAATTATTTTTTAGAGAACAATTGGCACTACAAAAAAAAATTGATTAATTAATTAGTTGGTATGCTTCTTATTATAATATATATTTTCCAATATTATATAGTAATTGATATTACTTACAAATAATAATCAATAATAAAATGATTATAGCAACAATAATAATAATTCTCATTTTCATATCTTTCCACCACATTTGCTTCCGTACTTTATTTGCCCCACGACGAAATCCTTGTGCTGATACTGACAAATTTTCTATTTACAAAAAAATAGTGAGAAGATATTACAGTACTAATATTTAAAGTATTTCTTTACTCTCTAACATAAATTCTTTACCAGTTTTATCTTGTAAAGTATCTAATTTCACTCCTCTTTCAGCAACAGATTTAAGGTTATCACGCATAACTTCTACAGTCTCGTCTATTTTTTTTTGAATTTCTAAAGTTTTTGAAGGTGGACCACCAGCAGCACCCTCCTTAGGTATGTATGGATCGTATGGAGAAGACCTGTTGAAAACGTTTATTAATGTCGTTGGAAGATGACAATTTTAAATAATATTCGTTCATTCAGTCATTTAAACAAAAAATAATTATTTCCCATTGTTTAATCTAATTGATTTATTGATTGATTCAATACGCTTGCTTGCTTGCTTTATTTTGATATAATAAAAAATAATACATACATTATAAAATATTTATTTTTATTATTTCAGTGATTCCTTCCTTGGAGAATGCTTAATATTTATGCAAGTATTTTATTACAAAGAACCTGTTTTTTTTGTAAAGTTGTGCGCACAAACTAACTTTATTTTGTTTCTTTTCTAGTCAAGATCATCAACTTTTCAATTTTCTTCTAATTTCTTTCGGTTCAAAGTAAAATTTTATACGGGTGGGCATTCCTTCTTGGAAATTTGCCAAGTTTTTGTATTGTTTCATTGATGTTAATGTTTGGTTTTAGTCCAGCAGACACAGTTGGTGAATTAAAGAAATTGATTTCAGCTCAAACTGGCACCGATCCTTCAAGAATTATTTTAAAAAAATGGTAAAGTAATTTTTTATTTATCATTGTTACTTTTAATAATTTATTAATAAATTATTTACAATTGTTGATGATTGTTTAGGTATACAACTTTTAAAAATCATATCACATTGGAAGATTGTAATTATCATCATTATTAATGATTTATGTTGATATGTTTACATATAATAATAATAATAATTTATTTTTATTTTTTAGATGAAATTAATGATGGAATGAATCTTGAATTGTATTATTCATAATTTTTTTATTGTTTACAAATTTATCATTAATTATTTTTTTCAAATTTAAAATAAAGATGATATTCATCTATAAATTATAAATCATAATGGTAAAATTCTTGAAACCATGCAAAGTTGCATCTGGTAAATATTCTGGATGATTTGATTGTAAAAAACCTTGATGAAGGTGCTATGGAACATTCTATAGCCATTATATACCATCTGGAATAGAAAACATACATTAAAAGTGACAAACCATATTGGTGCTAAATGTATTGCCAAACGTTTTAAAGATGAACCTTTCATAAAAACATCAATTATAGCATTTAATGCTAACCAGATATACCTTTGAATTGGAAGATATCAAACAGTTAGTTAACAATGAATGTTTCAAAGAACCAAGTCACTGATTATCAACTAAAAGCTTTAAAGAAAACTATATAAACAAGATATAAATCAGGAAAGTGTTTTTTACTAAATCGAGATTTTAAAATTTTTAATTTATTATCAAGTTCTCTTTTATATATATTTATTTATTTATTTATTTCACCTTTGTATAATTGTTCTTTTATTAATGTTAAAAATATTATTTGTTCTATTTATCATCAACATCATTGACGTTTAAATATAAATAGAATTATACATTAGAAATGTCATTATTAGAAGAATCAGGTTTCTTTAAAGCGATCTTTGAATAATTTTGAGCTGTAATATTTTCTTGTTAAAAAAAAAAATTTATTTATATATTAGATTTTAAAATTATTTATTATTATAATATTGTAAATTAGAAAAGAAAGTGAAAAAAGTTTTACCAGGTTGAACAAAATTAAATACATTCTGCCAATTATGAAGCACATTACCAATAACTAATAATAATGAATGTTATATGTGTTTATATAAAAAATACGTACACATGTAGTATGTATGTTGTAAATACCTTCACATCCTTCATTTAACTGTTGAATTTGTAATGCCAATTGATCAAAATATTCTGCTAATTCTTCTGAAGTTTTCTTCATTTTAATAAATTTTCATATTCTTTTTGTTTTTCTTGAATTCTAATATTAAAAAGTATTTGTTTGGCAGTAGGAATATCTTGTTTTTGTCGTTGTTGTAAATTTTTATTATCATTAGCATTAGTAGTTATTGGTACAGATACCTGTTGAGAAAGTTGTTGAAAAGTTTTAAATGAATTGTTTGACATTATAAAAAAAATATTTTTAAATCTACGCGTTTTTACTACATAAAGCATTCACAATGGTTGATCATCAAAAAATAATAAACATCAATAATAATCATCAATGCACATATGGTAACAGTCAAGCTTGGTCTGAGAGAAAGATAAGGGAATATTTTGTCCAACGCCTTCCAACATGTGGTGGACTTTACCCTTGGAAAAAAATTCCATAGTTATGAAGGGTATTTGCATGTTTGTGAAGGAAATTTTAATTAAATTCCGACACCTGTGATTAATATCGGATTTATTATTCATAAGGAACTACACAATGAGAACTATAATATTTTTTTGATCCTCCCCATTCATTTATTCATGTGAGTCCCAGAGATCTGTGTAAACATGCATTATTAAAAGTTTTATGCATGGCCTTGTTATGTCAATGGCAATATCAAATGTATCGCATAATAATCATGAATATTTGATGGATGGAGGCATTCACATACAAGGAAATGATTAAATTTTTGTTTTATTAAAGATATATAATTAATTATACAATGAAAAAATTGCAAGACCGCGTCACTATTTCAATCAAGCTATCAAGCTGTCATGGTTTAAAATTCTTTTATGCTACATAGTTTAATGCCCATCTTTCTTTGCTTGTATATCATCTATTGGTTCTCTTTTTACTGGTTGAATGATGCCAAATTTGGTAATGGTTTTGTTGCTGAAATGTTGATAATTGCCATACATATGGGGATTCTCTAGCAAAAGGTAGTTTAAGTGCCCTCTGACAAAATTGAGATTTTTGCATAATATATATTTATATTATAAGGATGAAAAAATCAGTCAGTTACTGTCTATTTAATAAAAAAAAAAAGAGATACAAGCAAGGCTTGAAAATTTTTAATTTATATATCAAAACGCATGTAATGTATGTTTCAGGGATCATTACTCATATGAACTAAGCTAGAGAATCCCTCATATGATTTTTTAAAAATTTCTGTTTATTTACTTTCTAACACTACTCAGTGTTGGTGTCAGTGTTGATGAGTGGTAAACATTCTATGGAAGGAGAAGGGTGCTCCTCACACTAACACTGCCTTCCTCCTAGAAGGAGCATAAGCATATATTTTTATTTAAAATAAAAAATTGTTTTTTTTTATTGGGATAAATTTTAATTAAATAATAAATTAATAATGAATTTTTCTCTTTTGAAATTTACATTATTAAAGTTTGTAAGTCAATCAACAATTAGACAAAATTGCTTATCAAACATTCTAAGATCTCACAACTGGTAGGATCATGAAGACCACATTCAAAGAACCAATCAACACAATAAAAATAATAACAGCAAAGGCTATAATATGATCAGAACAGGTAATTAATTATTATCACTTTTCAATAAATAATAATCTTTTGTTAGAAAAAGATGAAATTTAAATTTAATATTATATTTAATAGTGATACTATATAATGTGAATATGAGGGATATGAATAGATCAATGGATAATAATAGTATTTATGCAATTTGTATTTAGCAATAATAATAACTACAATCATAATAATAATCATAATGATTGTAATATCATTATAACAGAATCAGCCCAACAAGATGCTTTACCAACAGGACACTTTACCAACAGGACACTTTGCCGACAGGAGATTTTACCAACAAGACACTTTACCAACAGGACACTTTACCAACAAGTATTGTGTTAACAATTTGCCAAGGACTGTGTGAAGACCTGGATAACTAGCTAAAAATTTGGTTTTTTACAACAAGTTAAATCAACCATTAATTAACTAATAACACCACTTATTATCCTTACTTTGCATCAAAAACAAGTTCATAAAAATACAATATAGATACATGTGTAATATATATTTTTTTTGTCAGATGAAATTGATAAAAATTGCATATTCATGTTATAACAAAAAAAAAAATTTAAAATGAAATATTATGGGCAATGCCCCAAAGAAACTTTATAGTTGATCTAATGTTATGGTCATTTAATACTGTTTGAATCTGTATTTCACAATTATGGTCTTGTGGTTTCTGTGGGGGTCATGGTGTTCCTTGCAAGACAATTTCTATGTCAAGTTCGACTTTACTTAGATTGTTGATAAAGTGTCCTGTTGGCAAAGTGTCCTGTCAGTAAAATGTCCTGTTGGTAAAATGTCCTGTCAGTAAAGTGTCTTGTCAGTAAAGTGGGTGTTGGTAAAGTGTCCTGTCAGTAAAGTGGGTGTCAGTAAAGTGTCCCAGACCCGATATCATCTTTGACATAACAAACAATTGCATCACCCAAGTAGTAATAACACCAAGGCCATGCATAAATGAAACTTTTAAGGAAACCTAATTTTGAAACAATAATGTGTGTCTACCCAGATTTCTGGTATCAAAAAGAAAAAAAGAAATCCTTTCAAATTGTATGGTTCCTTAAAAAACATGAATAAATCTGATGATATTAATAATATTAATAATAGGTGTCAGATTTAACAAAAATTTCCTATCACAAACATGCAGAACTGTGCAATTAAGCACAATTCAGCACTATGGAATTTTTTTCCACAGGTGAAACAGTCCTGAACATGTTGGAAGGCTTTTTCAAGATTGGCAAAGACTTTTCCCTTATCTTCCTCTCAGACCAGACTGATCTAGATGTTTATATACACTAACATTACAACTCTTTGAACAGGTTGCAAGCAACCTCCAGAGTGCAATTTGTTGGTTGCAGAGCCAATCATCTTTATCCTAGAGGTAGGATCATTGCAGATGACTTTTCAGTTGGACGCTGTGAAGGAAGAAGGTTAAGAGTCCTTGACAACAATGCAATCCTGATAAATTCCAGGCCTTACACCCCCCTTGGAATTCAATTGCATCACCATATCATCAGGGGCCTTGCAGTCAAATTAACCTTATATACATGGGGAATGTGAGAATGACTGTAATGTCTTCAAGGTAGCATGTGTCTCTTGACATTTGCTGATTTTCTGATAATCAAATGTCACATATTGATGTATTTTGTGTAATAGTCATGTTGCCTTGACATCTTATAATTATGTATTGTTATTTAATATTAGTGTTATTATTAATGTTGATTATGCAAAGCAAAATCATACTGATCGTTTATTATAATCAAGAATCTTGTAATAAATACCTAAAGAGACACTACAAGTTCTGCTCCGCATTCTGATTTCAATAATGTACATTTATATAAATAAAAATACACATATCAATACATTTATAAATATTAAAAAAAAAAATAAAAATAAAAAGTATCTCTTGCCATCAATAAACAGCAGGTCTTCAGAACATGCCAAATCAAACAACATTCACAATTTATCTTTTACACAAGGAAACATTTTTCAAAAAAAAAAACTTTGTACAACCCACACACATAATAATAATTGGTTGTTTGTACATGTTGATCCGGACCCAGACACTTTACTGACACCCACTTTACCAACAGGACACTTTACTGACACCCACTTTACCAATAAGACATGTTACCAACAGGACACTTTACAGACAGGACACTTTACCAGCAAGACACTTTGCCAACAGGACACTTTACCAACAAGACACTTTACCAACAGAACACTTTACAAACAGGACACTTTACCAACAAGTATTGTATTAACAATTTGCCAAGGACTGTATGAAGACCTGGATAACTAGCTAAAAATTGGTTTTTTACAACAAGTTAAATCAACTGTTAATTAACTAATAACACCACTTATTATCCTTATTTTGCATCAAAAACAAGTTCATAAAAATACAATATAGATACATGTGTAATATAATTTTTTTTTGTCTGACAAGATTGATAAAAATTGCATATTCATGTTATTTTTTTATTAAATTTATTTATCAATCACAAAAAACTTTTATTGTGACACATTGGGCGCCTTCAAAAATTATTAGATTGAGATTGAGATTGGGATTGATTTCGATCTGCGTTCAAAAATTTCCATATTGAGATAACAGGAGAGAACGTACTGGGAACACAAAAATTAACAGGAGGGAATACAAAATTTTAACCCATGCAATTTGTTGA